ATTAAGATAACATGATTTTAAAAGTAAAATAGCTTGGTATAAAATATCTTTTTAAACTTTCTAAAATTCTACCCCTGGCCAGGTGGCTCAGTTGGTTGGAATGTTATCCCATACACCATAAGGTTGCAGGTTTGATTCTCAGTCAGGGCACGTACCTAGGCTGTGGGTTCAATCCCTACCTCCCAGCCTCCCTCCCTTCCTTCCTTCCACTCTCTCTAAAAATCAATGGAAAAAAATATTCTAAGTTGAGGATTAACAACAACAACAGAAAATTTCATGGTACAAATTAGGTATATTTATATCTTAAAAACTCCCACAACTTATATATTAGGTTCAAAAACATTTATTATATTCAGAAAAAGATTACTTTTGCTTTCTTTTAATAAAACTGAATGCACTGCCCTGCCTGGTTTGGCTCAGTGGATAGAGCGTCGGCCTATGGACTGAAGGGTCCCGGGTTCAATTCTGGTCAAGGGCACATGCCCGGGTTGCGGGCTCAAACCCTAGTAGGGGATATTCAGGAGGCAGCCAATCAATGATTCTCTCTCATCATTGATGTTTCTCTCTCTCTCTCTCCCTTCCTCTCTGAAATCAATAAAAATATATTTTTTAAAAAAACCAAACAACTGAACGTACTGAATAGCAGCATACTTATTACTGATAGAGTAGATTTTGACTTTTAATTTAGGAATAAGTTTAGCTCATAATATGAAATAAAAATAAAACTTTCCCATCCTCTCTCCTGCCCAATTTCTTTCTGGAGCATTGGCCAGACACTAAATTATACTCTATTATTAAAGGAAAAGGCAACATAATCACACATCTGGACCCAAATATTTAATTAGTTTCACCAACTCCAGGGAATGCCCCAGAGGAATAACAGTCAATCAGTAAATCACCACAGTGAGGCTATGACAGCTATGACTAGTATATGAGTAGGACATTATTACATATTCTTAACAATACAATCATCTAAATCAATCAATCATGATTCTCAATTTAAAAAAAGACAATAAGCCTTAAGAATCTCCAAATACGCCCAGTCTGTGCATGCCATATTTTGACCTGACATAAGTAATAATCTTTTGGGGCTACTTTTTTGTTTGTTTGATTTTAATCTATAAACCATCGGTTCTCAACATGGGGGTCGAATGACCCTTTCACAGGGATCGCCTAAGACAGTCGGGAAACACATATATAATTACATATTGTTTTGTGATTAATCACTATGCTTTAATTATCTTCAATTTGTAACAATGAAAATACATCCTGCATATCAGATATTTACATTACGATGCATCACAGTAGCAAAATTACAGTTAGGAAGTAGTAACGAAAGTAATTTTATGGTTGGGGGTCACCACAACATGAGGAACTGTATTAAAGGGTCGCGGCATTAGGAAGGTTGAGAACCACTGCTATAAACAAAGGAGACTAGTATTACCCACTTGTTCCCCATAGGGGCAGTACCTAGAAGGCATTTTGGAAACAGGTGAGAGCATTTTCACTTTTCCCAGTGATTGGCACCAGGGGGCGGAGCTAGGGGTCTGCCATACATCCAGTAACATCCCAAATAACTTCCAAATGTCCTTCTGTTCATTCCTTTCACTTGAACTTTCAGTATGACTATTTGAGCCTAGAGAGGAACTCCTTTTCACATATTTCAGTTTTAACAAACACTGAATTTTCCAGGGACTCACCTCTCATGTTAATATGCACTTCTGCAATGGGGAAAAAGTACCCCACTGTACTAGTAGTACTTTCAACAATAAAGATAAATTTTTAAAAATATGCACTTCTGTATGAAGTTTACCAAGAATCACCACTATTTCAGAAAATTCACCTCTCCCACCACAAATCTGCTCACTGTATCTGAGTCAACAATATGGCACATCTGGATCAGGATTCTTCTACAAAAGTTGCATTCATGGCAATCCTATTAAGAGGTGCAAGTAGCTACCTACCTTCTCATGACTTCCAGTAGAATCATGCCTGAGCACTTATATAATGAAATGTACAATGTTATGCTATAAATTTCTTTCCTGTTACTTTCTATCACAATTAAGGTGACATATTGGTTACTTTTAACACAACCTACTTACACGTGCAATTATCCACGAATTTCATTGCAGGATAGCAAGAGTAATACAAAGTACTTCATTAAAATGAAACACTAGATCTGATAGGGATGCAAAACATTGACCTAAAATATCATGTAAGGCTCCTTGCATCTCCAACACTCCTTGATTCTGTGAAAAACTTTCACTTTGGCAAGCCCTGATCCTAAGTAACTCTTTACCTCTACTTTTACATTTGAAAGTATTGGAATTAAGTTAAAAAGAGAAATACATGTGGTTGCTAAGGTGATACATAAAAGCACAGACTCCACTCCACTCTTAAACATCTGTGGGAGCAGTGGAAAATGTCATGGCGATGACGCCTTTTATAGGTTAACCAGGGGCCCGGTGCACGAAATTCATGCACTGTGTGTGTGTGGGGGCGGGTGTCCCTCAGCCCAGCCTTCCCCCTCTCACATACTGGGAGCCCTCAGGCATTGACCCCCATCACCCTCCAATCGCAGGATCGGCCCCTTGCCCAGGC